AGCAGTTTCTCACAGTTTCCAAGGAGCAGTAGATCTTAAAGTTTCAATGTTTAGGACTTATCGTCTATGTTGGCTTTAAAGAGACTGAAAGTTCAAGCTTGACCTTATGAAGATCATGTGATGTGATGGAAAGCTCCACAACAGTTATTAAATGTGACTGTTTTGTCAAAACAGTGTTGTAGAGCTGGAGTCCAAATCATAGACTCATAGACAGCATTCAGACCGTTAGTTTTAGTGTATGTACATGTTTGTGAGTGTATTTATCTGATTTCTGTGTCACAGACAGACAAATAAACTCACCTTGATGTGGATCTTTTTATCTGTATATCAGCTCAGAGTGGAGCACAGGAGCCCATCTTGGAACTCGACTCAGACTCTGCCTTTATGACTCAGACTCAGGTAATGGGGACTCGTCTTTGGTGACTCGGACTCGGACTCAAACACTGGACACTGGAGCCTCAACTCAGACTCAGGGTTTAGTGTCTCCTCCACAATACTGTCCTACCTGAGCGTAACACTTGTCCCTTACCATTTTTAATCTATTTTACACAAGTTAAAAGTTTCTGCAACAAAATCACAAAAAAGACAGGAAAAGTGTTCAACAGTGTTTCTGGCTTAGCATGGATGTGGCTAAGCTAGCATTTACACACAACTGGTGACTAAACTTACAGGAGATCATCCATCGTCAGGAGGAGACGTTTCATGAGTAAGTGATGAAATCCAACAGTGGGAATGGTTTGAGTTTGCTCAGGGAGCTCTGCAGCCCAGATGCTAACAGCACCAGTGGCTCTGCAGCTCTGGCCCGCTCACTGATCCTGACAGGAGGTGTTGTTTACTGGACCAGCAGAGCAGCTCCTGGGAGACGCAAAGAAAAAGACAAAGATTGTTTTGCAGTTTTTGTCCGACGGGTTGGTTATCCCACATTTTTATTAACAGACAAAAGTAAACACATACGCTCACTCGCTCTCCCTCGCTCGCCCACACCGATGTGTTTCCTCTGTCTCTCTTCATGATGCTGTCTCATCACAACACAGGGAAAATCAGACACTGAGCTAACGGAGGAATCACCTTACTTCTGTTGCCCTTTCACCTATCAATTCATTTTTTTTGACAACTTATTTTGATTTTTTTATTGGTCCTTCACTGTGTCGTTCCTCTTTAATCATGAATGTATTTTTACTTATGGTTCATTCATTTGTATGTTTTGAGCTGTCGGTGCAGAACAGAGGACGTTTCTCTGTTTACTTTAAACCTCTGCGATCTATTCAAGTGTGATGGTGAAAATGAAAGGCTCCAGTGCACAGAGGGAGAAGGGATTTTCAATGAAGTAGAGACGTGGAAACTGCTGTTCAAAGCAGATTATTTTATATGTTTTATAACATATCTGGAGAGGCTCCTTTAAACCTTTCATACTTGGTCTGGTTACCGACTATTGGATGGACTACTATGACATTAGCATGGCTGATTCTGTAGACTCTTAGTCTTTATGTTGATATCATTCATGGACAGGATAACAAGGCACAGTAAAGGTCTGAAACGTGTCTTGGTGACATTAGATTAGTATCTTTTACGACAGTTTCATCCATCTGGCTTTACTAAACTTTCCGCCCTACACATTGTATTACTTCGAGGTCAAAAGTGAGGCCAGTTTTGGACAGAGCTTGCGGCACCAGCTGCAGTAATATCAGTGTTGTATTGTGAAGAAAAGCCACTACAGGTTGATCTCATGCCAACCTCACTCCTGGTAACATACAGATATAAACGGCTGAGATTCTGACTGGGGAGGACTTCATTATTTAGCTCCTGCTTCTTGGCATTAAGGGAGCCAGTCAGTTGGTAAGACTGTCCCAGAGGACTCTGTTTGCTCTGGGCAGAAATGACTCGGAGAATTCCTCGGAGTCACTTCACCAGACTGTAGGATGTTGCGGTCCCTCTGACCTGGATACGTGTTTAGAAAAGGCACAGATGGACATGATCAATATATACTCTCCAAGCACTTCATTAGGAACACCACACTAACACTGGGTAGTTCCTCTCTTTGCTCTCAAACAGCCTCAGTTCTTCATGTCGTGGATTAAACAAGACGTTGAAACTTTCCTCTGACTCTCTGCTCCATGTTGACATGACTGCATCACATCATTTCTGCTGATTTGTCAGCTGCACATTCATGCTGCCAATCTCCTGTTGTACCACATCACAAAGGTGTTCTACTGGATTCAGGTCTGGAGACTGAAGTTCACCGAACTCATCAAACTACTGCACTTAATAAAAACCAAATAAAAAGCTTTGCACCTCAGTCTCTAGACTTTAGAAACTGGTGAAAAGACAATATTTTTAAAAGTGCAACCAAACAATGTTGAGGAATATATATTCCTTATCATCTTTTCCTGCACTCTGTAAATTAATGTTAGCATACTCCAGACTGACATTCAGGGAAAGGAAAAGGTTAAAGTTGCTGAAACCTGCAGACACTCTGCTGACTCTGCTATCAGATTAATTATGTTTCTTTATTAGGAGAGAGTCGGTCAATACAGCCTGATAAAGCCAGAGTCAGTCATGTGACGGAGACTCTAACCCACTCCGACCAGACTTTAATTTCCTGCTGGCCACCTATCAGTAATAAAACAACCATCACCGTTCACCTGTCAATCACATCATTTATTACTGCTGACTCATCACTCGTCAGACTTTCTTTTCTTTCTGTCATTCTGTGTCTTTCACTCTCAACAATCTGTTTGTGGTTGTTATTTGTTATTTATAAGATGCAAGAACCACAAGAAAACATTATTCAAATTGAATGCACTGCCATAGAAAAACCAGACATGACAAGAATTAAAAGAGATATTTATTTATTGTATTTCTGTTTTGTTGTCTTTCATTTGCTGTGCTGTTTTTTTTTTTTTTTTAACACTTCTTGCTTTATATATCCTCCCCTAATATCCTCACATGTCAATCAAAATCAAAACCTCACCTGTTGTCGACCTCAGCTTGCTGGAGTCACAGCTGTCTGGTTGAGTGACAGTGACTCTGTCAAATAGCTTCAAAAGACTTTTCCTTTTATGAGTTGTGTCGTGTATAAAAGCACATACGACACTGGGAAAGTTACCTGCAGTTGTTTTAGTGCAGAGTTACCCAGGGTGCAGCAGGAGGGCGAGGGAAGGGGCGACTGTGGCTCAGGAAGCAGAGCAGGTTGTCCACTCATTGGAAAGTCGGTGGTTTGATTCCTGACTCCTCTGGCCCTCATGTCGAAATGTCCTTGAGCAGGATACTGAACCTCTGATTTCCTCTGTGTCACTGGTGTGTCAGTGATAGGAGAAGTGCTGTGCGAGTGTGTGTGAATGGGTGAATGTGGCTCATATCGTGAGGCACTTTGAGAGGTTGATAAGACTAGAAAAGAGCTGTATAAGTGCAGTCCACCAGCCACCCAGTGGTCATCCCCCCAACCACTAATGGTGTAATGTTAGCCTGATGGAGTAATAGTCTGTCCAGTGGTTTTGAAGAAACCACACAACAGACAGCAACACTTCTTTAAGTATCACAGCAACCTGTTTTAGCTGATCTGCCGGCTGATAAACAGAGTGGAGGATCCTTCAGCGCGGCGTCTTACCTTTCGAATGGTGCATCTGAATCAGCAAAGTATCAATACAACGCTAAGGTCCTGCAGTAATTCTGGAGTCAAAGCCTCTCGTCTGCCCTCACATCATCAATCTAACAAGATAAATACATTATCTGGTGCATCTGTGGCTAAATGTGGATACATACTGTCATTATTAAATATGACACGAGTGATTCTGAAATCTTAATTCCCTGTTTACCTGCTGATACAAAGGATGAGGATACCTACTGTCATGATGATGATGATGATGATGATGATGAATCAAGTGGAAATAAGAGCAGGACTGAAGAAGTGATCTGACAGGGGGAGGGGTCAGAGTGTCACTGGTTGCAGGTCAGCAGTGGGTTCGGTCACAGGTTGAAGCTGTGTCTAAACTAAAATGAGGTGTTATGTTGCTCTTTAACAGGATAGTGGCTTTAGTTTAGGCTGGGGGGTACGTGTGGTGCAGACCCCAAACAACAGTGAATTGATCTGACTAAAGAGTATTGATGGTGTGTATCCAAAGCCTGATGCTGTAAAGCTCCATTCTTCTGTCTACCCTGAAGCTCTAACATCAACATTCAACACAACACTAATAAAACCATAATGACATTTTAAAATGAGTAACGTATGGATGGATGGTTGGGATTCTCTCTGCAGTGGGTTTTTATTCGAGTGTAATCACATGTGAATGCACAACAGTTCATGTTGAGGGATATGACATCATGCTGGGACCATCACACTGTGACCATCTGCCCTGTTTCCAAAACCCTCCCACTTATCCAACCCAAAATACCACCCAAAGAAATTCCCCTGGTTCTCAGTGTGACCTCCTCTTCACCTAGACATCGTTTATTACATAAGCCTTCACACATAATATATAATATGTCAGAGCAATCTTCATTGTTTACCTGAAGAGAAAGTGGTTGTTGCAGATACATGTCACAGATTCTGATGGGTCACAGAATAGAGCAGAACACTGGCAGCGGGCTGAGGCCGAGCACTAACTTCACCCTGTTGGACAGCAGATATTAAACAAAGGAGTTGTCACCCCCCCCCCTTCGTCATAAGCACCCTCCTACATATATTATGTTTGCAGTTGTTTTGAACGGTTAAGCCGGTCAGCCAGTCAAACTAAAACTGAAAACATGAATGAAAGATTTGATGAGGGATTCATTGGCTGTGAAGCTTATGAATTTGTATTTTATCAAATTTTAGCTCATGAATTTGGGTATTTGATCCACTTTGAACTGGATCCAAAATGAAACCAACTATCAGAACCTGGTGTTACATGATGGTAACTATCCTTGTGATGCCTCTCTCTCTCCCTCTCTCTCTCTCTCTCTCTCTCTCTCTCTGTCTGTATTTTAAGAATAACTTAAGCTGAGAGTTTTTCTGTTCACAGGAGTGAAGATCATCTGGACTCTGGAGTCACCACAACAACAACTACAACCAGAAACTGAGACACACACACGTTTCAACTACACAACAAAGTGGTTGAAATTGTGATGTTAGATGACATCATCGTTACATCATTACCATCTGTAAACTTTAAAAGCCAGTGTGAGGAGCACAGTCACTGTAACTAAAGTGACACAAGCATAACTTTGGTTTTTAGGTGAATTAATCATGTTTATCTCAGTCACTTATTTCTGAATTTAATTCCAGACATAAGTATCAAGCCTAACAAAAGACTTACAGTATAATCAGCTACCAGCTGAGCAGGGTTAGTAAGCCAACATGGCTGACCCCTACCAAAACAACATGTACCAACAAGGGGGTGACAGCTATGGGACTTACGGAGAAGGTGGCGACTACCCTCCTCAGGAAGAGGACGCAGCGAGCGACGTGACGGAAGGACACGATGAAGAGGATCAGATGTACGAGGGGGAATATCAGGGGATCCCACATCCTGACGAGGTGAAGGCTGCACAGAGAGCCGCACGGTGAGACTTCTTCTTGTGTAAATGTTCTAGAAAGACCCTCCCTACCCCCCCGACTCTAGGTCCCAACGTCAATGGACCCAGGAAGCAGACATGCTGAGGGAGCTGCAGCACTCCATAAAATCAGGGATTATAAAAACCATCAGTTTAAATTTGCACAATCTTTAATGTTATTGGCTGTATGTGTAGTATTTGTGATGGGAAAGAGAATTTTTTTTAAACTTTATTATGGATTTATTGTCAGACTGATAGACCAGTACCATGCCCCTCGCAACGTCAGAGCAGGTCAGACTGAGAAAGCGAGAGAGAACCAAACAAGACAGTGTCAGCTGTTTCATATGGCAGATCGAACATGGATTGAATGCTTGTCTCCTGTGTGAAATTACTTTTATAAACTCACGGGTCGTATCTCTCTCACCTGTGTCCAGGTCTGTGTAGTTACTATGACAAACAGTTTATTGGTGTTCGGATTTTTTTCTTTCCAATATTGTTGTTAGTAACTATCGGATATAAAGGGCGTCTGGTTTATGGCTCTGAGAAAATCAAGCATGTTTGAAACTCTGGAACAGCTGATGATGAGGTGAATACACGTCTGAACCACTTAAAAACCAGAGGAACCTGACGGGAACGAGCGCAGACAGAGGGCGTAGCAGAAGCAGCAGCTGCTCCTTAGCAGAACTGAGAGTATGGAATTGTAGGACACCAGCGTCTGCAAGCACTCAGAGCCCAGGACACAGTGCAGGAGAACAGACTTTGGGTTCTGTTCATGCGTGTATAGCATGTTCTGTGTCCTGTGTGGACAGCTCAATAAAAATTCAAGTGGTTCAGTCAGATGCACGTTGAGAAATCCATTGCCCTGACAAACCAGAGACATCTTTCAGTTGGAGACATTCAGGACAGTGTAAACACATTGACATTTCCTTCCTCTTTTCATGACTTGTCATACTCTCTCTGTGTCCCAGGGCTAAAGCCCGAGAAGGCAGAAGCGGCATCTCTGAACTAGAGGAGTTGTCTGAACAGTACGAGGACATCATGGAGGACTGTGGCCACGGGAAGTTCCAGTGGACGCTCTTCGTGGTGCTGGGCCTGGCTCTAATGGCCGATGGAGTCGAATGTTTCGTGGTGGCTTTTGTTCTACCGTCCGCAGAAAAGGATCTGTGTCTGTCCCACGCAGAGAAAGGAACGCTGGGTAAGAGCTTCAGTGATTTATTGTTGATCACAGTGTGGTTTCTTTGTGAGGAGTGCTGGTGAAGTCTGTGTTGTTGTCTGTGCAGATCTATTTTACAGGAATTATATGAACTCTAAACCTTATTGACCATAATTTGATCCCATACCTCTGTGACACACTACGTGAGGTACTCACACCAGAGGTTCAATACTCATAAACTCAAAGCAGCATCTGGGTTTATGTTAGTAAAATCTAAAGATTGGTGAAATTCTCTGAAAGCCTTTCTTTCTTTATTTCCTTTATTTTCCCTGGTAATAAAAGTTTTTTTTCCCTATTTCTATTTGCTGATACAACCCAATTAGGAACCTATACTAGCTACTAATTATATCCACTTCCAGTGAAAAGAGTTTGTGTTACTACATCTTCTGAAGCATTGTTTGGACAATATTTTACTGCAGGAAGTAGTACTGTATCAGAATGGCAAGAAAAAGGCAAGTGACAAAGGAAGACTCACTAGTTCAGGGGTTTATCCTACAGCAAGATAATGACCCAAAACATACCTCCAGGCTGTGTCAGCGCTACCTTAGAAGAAGTCTACCTAGCTGTGCACCTACTGAGTGTGGGCCCTAGGCCGGTTGCACCCTCTGACCACGTGGTTGTTCTGCTCATGGTTAAAACTCCTCCTGCACAGATGTTTCACATGAAAAGCCTCCAAGCAGCTGCCCTGTTTCCCACCTGAACTTGCCTCATCACGCAACTGTCTCCATTTCCGTAATTAGTCCCCTCTGTAAACCTACCTGCTCATTTCACTCAGTATTTTCCACTATGTCTGGATTTCTGCCTTCACTCCTGTTTTCTGATGATTCATTTTTGCCTGCTCCATTTGTACTGTTATCATAATCCCAGCAGGGAACAAGTGCAGAATGAAAACCAGCATGTAAAGGAAACAAGACAGGTTGTCTGTATTGTAATGCAGCATTTCATCACTTCAAGCTCTGTCAGGAAAACATCCATGTGGATAAAAAGGATGCTGTACAGAGGCTTCAGAACATGTTCAGACCGCTTCACTCTTTGCACACTTTATTATGTTTCCAGATTTCATTGTAAAACATTAAAATTGACATTTTTGACCATCAACCCAATAATGACTGAGTCTCAAATAAGCACAATCCAAAAGAGCCAACTGATAATGTTGGCTGGTTAAACAGCACCAAGGTTTGTGGAATAGAACTGATTCCATCAATACAATGAGACTCATGTTTTGACTTTGTCATTATGTGTTACTGAGTGTAGACTCATGGGCAAAATGGCTATTGTATCCATTCAAAATGAAATCTGCAGCACAGTAAAATAGGTGAAGCATTTTCTGAAGCCACAGTGAATACAGACAAAAAGGGTTGCATCATATACAGGACATGCTGTATGTGATACACATTTTTGCATTTGAACATTTTGCTATGCACATACGAAACAAAAGACATGTATGATGTTGTGATTATACATGAGGACAGAATTGATCAAAGACACTGTAAAGTTGAAGTGGGAGGAGTTAACTAGTTGATGAGAAAGTGAGATCAGCAGAGTCTTATTGTATCGATGGAATCAGTTCCACTCACCTCAGTGCTGTTCAACCAGACTTCACTAGCAGCTGGATTTTGTGGATGGTCCTGACTCTTATTTGAGACTCTGTCATCATTGGCTTTACTGCAGAATTTATGTCACTTTGCTCCTCTGTCAGGACCGTTATCAGGCTCTTCTCTTACCCTTCATCTGCATCAATGGCACTGAAAATGAAAGTTGAAGAAGTATTATCCTCCAAGAGGAAACATTTAACAGTTTGAGTTATATATGACAGTCACAAGAGCAAACCAGTGCAATAATCAAGTAATGAGATTAGTCCTGTAATTAAAATATCTGCCAAAATAACTGTCACTGAGACAGATTCACATTTTTATTTCATCAACACACTAACAGACTATTATCATTTTAGCTTTAGCTTACTTTAGTTGTATCTTTATGATCAAAACTAATGATAACAACCAGACAACTTCACGCAGTGACAGTGACACGTTCTACAGCATTAATATTGTAACATGAGGGTTGGATGTGTGGTGGTTTGGGTGGCTCTTGATTAAAGAAACAGCAGGATGGAGACGGGTTAACTTCGTCTGCTTCACAACAACAACACTTCCTCTTTCCAGGTCTGACTGGAAAGAGACTAGACTGAGGTAAATAAGCAGAAAACTTGAGAGATTGATTCTGGAGGTTACTGTAAGTGTTTTTAAAGATGCACATGTAAATATTTAAACTTGTAAATATGTAAAATAATAATTGTATAAACATGTAAATAGTCAACTGTACAAACAATGTAAATATATTTTTGGTAAGTTACCTCAAATAGACAAATGAATTAACAACTAAACCTTATTATCATCTTATCATTATCTTAAATTATTGTAATCAACAATGTATACAAGGCGGCACGGTGGTACAGTGGTTAGCGCTGTCGCCTCACAGCAAGAAGGTTCCGGGTTCCAGTCCCAGCTCGGACGCGGGGTCTTTCTGTGTGGAGTTTGCATGTTCTCCCCGTGCTTGTGTGGGTTCTCTCCGGGTACTCCGGCTTCCTCCCACAGTCCAAAGACATGCAAATGGGGACTAGGCTGATTGATTACTCCAAATTGACCATAGGTATGAATGTGAGAGTGAATGGTTGTTTGTCTATATGTGTTTGCCCCCCGCGACCCTACTAGAGGATAAGCGGTAGAAAATGGATATACATTTGATGTGTTCTAATACACATACACACACACACGCACACACACACACAGAGGCACCCAAAGGGAGAGTCAATGAGTTTCCGCAGCAATCATCAAACTACTCCTGCAGTGTAATTAGCTAATGGGCCCTGAGGAGGTAGGCATGAATCAGCTTGTTGGACCAAGTCTGTAATATAAATGATGTTGTGGTATTGGTCCATATACACTTAGTGTAACTGTATGCAGCATGTGAGCGAGTGTGAACATGTGTTTTGTTGTGAAGTTGAATGATGTGTGTTATAGCCTGCATCTAAATATACTGTATATCTGGTCTTTTAGTCCTACAGGAGAGAAGGATGAGGAAGAGAGCGAAGAGAGGAGATGAGGAGTGGTTAGGAGAGCAGAGATGAAGAGGAAGACGACAGGGGAGAAAAAGGAAGCGCAGAGCAGAGGAAAAGAGGAGAGAAAAAAGGGAAAAGAAATGAAGCAGCTGAAATTAGAAAAAAAAACAGTAGAGTAGTGGAGAAAAGAGAAGAGGAAATTGAAAGAGGAGCAGAGAAAAAGGTGAGAAAAACAGATGAGAAAAGAGGAATATAAGAGCAGAGGATCTGTTGTGGATGTCGATGAGAGATTTGAAGTCGGACTTTCACTCCAGTCGTAGTGACGTTTATATGAAGAACATATAATAAGTGATTATTAAGCTTGAGTCAGCTCTATGCCTCAGCTCAGTTCATCTGAGTGTGTGTGTGTCCGTCATTGACATTAACAATTATGATATGCAGTATGTTTATTTACTAACATCATGTGACGATGATGTCATTAACAGATGTGTACTGGTAACTGATGTGTCCCAAACCTTCTGTCCCCTTCAGCAAACACCTGACTCAGCAGCATACAGGGTGCTGGGTGGAGCAGAGAAACAAACCAGGGATACTTTCTGTAAAACTTTCTCTCTCTCCCTCCATCTGTCCATCCTCAGCCTCCCTCTCCATCTGTCTGTCCATCTCATTATTCCTCCGCACTGATGACTGTTGTTTTCAAGTTGATCGCGCATCTCATTCTCTTGAACGTGATATCTCAGGAATATCATGAGGGAATTTCTTCAAATTCACCTGGACTCAAGGAGGAACTGGTTAGATTTTGGTGATCAAAGGTCAAAGGTCACTGTGACCTCACCAAACATATTTTTGGCCATAACTCAAGAAATTCTTACACTAATTCTGACACAATTTCACACAAAGGTCTAATGGGATAACATGTGGTGACATTTTATATCCAGCAGGTCAAAGATCAGCTTCACTGTGACATCATAATGTCCTGCAAAAACACTTGTGGTCATTCATGGTTACTCAGCACTGTAACTCAACAGAAGGGGAGGTTGTGACCATATTTCCTGTAACTTACTGCAGTCAGACAGATAGAGACTCTGCTCTGCAGTTTGTGGCTGACTGCTAAAAGGAATGAGGGATCAAACTGAATCAAACTGAATTGATTTTGATCAAGTTCAAAAGTGTTTTTTTCCCAAATATTCACTATATGATGCAGTTGATTCATCTGAGTTCCTACATGTCCTCTACCTCCACTCTCTCTCTCTCTCTCTCTCTCTCTCTCTCTCTCTCTCTCTCTCTCTCTCTCTCTCTCTGTCTGTTTCTTCTCCTCCTCCACTATCCTCCTCTCACTCCTGTCTCACACCTCCTCCAATCTCCCACCACTTTTGGCCTGGAGCAGTGTTTCAGACAGGACTGTGTTTGTGTTGAGTCAGCAGACACAGTCAGTGATCGATTCTCTGTCCTGACCTTGGAAACAGAGTCTCGCTGCTGCTCCAGATTCCAGGGACACAAGTTATAAAGACTACACAGACATTATAGCCGTACTATGGCCGAGCCCAAGGAACTGAATATGTAACGTCTTCATGTGCATTTGTTTAAAATGATGTGTGTTCGTACTGTATGTGTGGATGGGGTTATAATTTGAGACCCAATATGATGAGTCACAGAGTCAGCTCTCCCCTGTAGCACAGCCATCTGTACACTGCGGTGTAGAGTTGCCAGTATCTGGCAGCAGTTAGGGTTATACTCCTCACTGCTGATGAAGATCTTGAAATTTTAAGGCCGAGAAAGAGCTGAGTGTGCTTACTTATTTTCGTAGAGTTGATGACAGTCAACCTGACTGTCTGAAAGAAAGATGACGGGAATGAATAAGGGATGAATGAATGGGAAGGATTAAAAAAGCAGTGTCATACACTGTTAATGAGGGATCAATTTGCCCTTTTCAGACTGAGCCTCTAAAAGTGGTAACTGCTCTAATTCAAATCCACATTATTTGATATCAAAAACATGAACGACAAAAACGTTCTTCACTTTCAACAGGCTGAAATATCCAGAAGAATCCTCCAAATGACAAAACAAGAGCAACACATGGAAACGTTCTATCATCTGAAAGCACCTGATTAGCAGGACATCATTTGTCTGAGCCTTCCAGCACCATCATAAGTCCCTGCTCAAATGTACATCTGTACTATGTTATGATGATGTGACGGTGCTGTGGTTAAGCTTTGATTAAGTTTAGGCAGAAAAATGGTTCATGGTAAAATAAGTACTTTATTAGGGGACCTTAATAAACACATGGTTAAAGTTACTGTACAGTCATAGTCATACTTTGTCTCCGTCTGTCTATGTGCAGGTTTGATCGTCTTTCTGAGCATGATGGTGGGAGCGTTCGTGTGGGGCGGTCTGGCAGACAAAGTGGGCCGCCGGCGCTGTCTGATCGTGGCGTTGGCTATAAACTGTATCTTTTCATTCCTGTCGTCATTCGCCCAAGGTTACGGCTTCTTCCTCTTCTTCAGGCTGCTGTCCGGCATCGGGTAATAACCACAAACACACACTCTTCCTTAAGGTGTGAGGTGACACATCTATTGTTTTTAATACATACATTTTCATTAACTGCTATGTTCCGTAAGGAAAATGAATTCCATATATAAAACATTAGAACAAAAAGCATTTTGTATAAAGTGACCTGGCCAAAGCAAATAGTTTAGAAGGGGTCGACAACACAGTCGCCAAGTGCAACTAAATACAAAGCAAAAACAACCCAATCACTCCCCACGACATGGCAGCAGATGGTTCAGCCTAAGGAGCTGGCTTCATTATTTAAAGCTCATCAACCCTGAGCCACACGTTTGACTCAACCAGGAAGGACGTCCCCCAGCAGCCATGATAACTCAAAGACAAGGAAATACGAATATAACAGAAGACTGCATGTGTTATCCCACAGTGTTAAAATGTGTGAACTCCAAATATAAAACAAGGTAAGGTTAAATACATCAATTCCAAACCTAACAAAGTGTGTGGAGGTATTTGTTTGGGTGCAGTTGACTGAAACTGAAATGACCCAGTGTAGAAAAGCAAACTGGTGAGGTGGGAGAGTGAGAGGAGCGTGGCTGCCCTCACACCGCATCTTGCATCTTGCATCCTCTGACGTCATGAAGTCTTCTCTTGGCCACTGACAGTGAAACATGTCCGCCTACATCCTGGATACCATTCTTTACCTGCTGTTCAGTCATGAAGGAGCTTTTCTTCGCCACACAAACTGTTTCCCACTCGTCCACCAGATCTACCTCGATCTACTTGCTCCTTTACCATTTCATAGTTTTCTTTTTTTTTTTAGAAAGTACCCAGCTGATGACTTTAGCAACAAACCACCTGTGATTTCTCACTGACAGAGATGTTTGCTTTTTCGTAGCCTCATCGTCATCGTCTTCTCTTGCATGCTCACCTCTCCACTCAGTCTAAACAGCATCTCTCAGCTGGTGAGAGAGCTCTTTCAGTATAAACAGTGAAACGACACTCAGCTGCCCAACATACATTTACTTACCAAGTGTTACTTATGAACCCTGGTAAATTTCGGCACTGTGCGTTAAAGTGGCTTTATCTTCCACACAGTTCTTTCAATATTGACTTAAATCTACTGAAATTAAAGCTGAGACGTGACACTTTAATATATGAGTATTTATTTTATTTCAAACCGAACATGCTGAAGCTCAGAGCCTGAGGAACAAAATGTGTATCAGCCCATACACCTCTGTCTGGACTTTACTCACTATAGTCCACTAAAAATATAATAACATCATCCTGTTAGCTTTGTTAATAAGAAATATATACTGCAAGTGCAGTCACACACTGTGAAAATATACTGAAACCAACATTTAACAATCATTTTGAATCTCTTGTTAGTTTGTTTGGTGGGGAAGGAAGAAATCTGTTAAAACAAAACAAGCTATTTCTTTGAGTCATGTTACTGTCAAGTGAACATTATGAAAAGTTAACTTTCTGAAAATCGAATTATCTTGACAGCTGTTTCTATGCTTTACTTGGCAAGAGTTTATATAAGAAAATAAAAAATCTGAATCAGAAAACAAACAGGAATATACCATCATCTCTACCTGAGGCAGTGTATTTCTACTCTGCTGTGTATCTACTAAACTACACAGTGCAGGTCTCTGTCCAGCGTCACCGACACGGGCTGAAAAACACTGAGATCGCGAGTGGAAACATTCCCCTAATGCACCTGCACCACCTGAGGATTTTATAATTAGACACCAGAAAGGTTTGTCAGTTTTTTTCACAAATAAACATTTTTATTTTCATCAGTGTAAAAACTTGTGTAGGTCCTTAAACCTCCCACCTCTGTGGTATTAACTTGCAGAATACCGTCGTGGTCTGTAACACTTCCTATTACAGTCATTTGTCTTCAACTTGATCTGAAGCTTCTTAAGTTTTTATACACAATAAATCAGTCTCCACACCATGTTTATGCAGAGGGTGGCTCCATCCCAGAATAACTGAGGTCCACAGGGAGACACACTAACTTAGAAATTAGGTCACATACAGAGCACAGCACAGTGACAGTGATATTCATGTGTGCACCGCAACGGTGCTCTCCTCAGAGGGTGCAGTGGAGTTCATGGGATGTCCTGCATGCCCGCTCTGCTGCAGTAACACATCTGCACCAACATGTAGCCACGTTCATGTTTTTTTCAGTGTGTGTTCTTGTGATATGAGCAAATTTCACACAAGAAATCCTTTGTTGCCTCCGATAGGAGAAACGTCTTTGTTCCTTCAGCCAAAACGTCTTAACTTCCCATTCTGATTTTCAGTTTAACTTTGCTACAACACGACTCTTGTAGTGTTCGATTTAGAAATATTCCATGTCATAGCAAAAAATCCCATGAAAGGAATCCTCTAGTGGTAAATGGACTGCACTAATATAGAGCTTCTCTAGTCTCACCGACCAATCAAAGTGCTTTACGTTACAAGCCACATTCATACAGCACTTTTTGTACATATAGAGCACTTTTTCTACCATACATACACACATGATAACATCAGGGGAAATTTAGGATTCAGTATCTTGCCCAGGGACACTCCATTCACACTGGAGGCGCCGGGAATCGAACCACCAACCTTCTGATTAATGGACAACCCGCTGTGCCTCCTGAGCCACAGTAAAATTCCTCTCAAAGGAGGCACCTTTAATTTGAAATCTAGTTCTTTTGTGATTATGCCTTATATTGATCATGTTGATTTTGTGGTTGTCTCTCTCTCTCTATCTCTCTCTCTCTCTCTCTCTCTCAGGATTGGTGGCACGGTGCCGATCGTGTACTCGTACTTCTCTGAGTTTCTTCAGATGGACAAGAGAGGGGAGCATCTGTCCTGGCTGTGTATGTTCTGGATGGTTGGTGGGATCTACGCCTCCTTCACTGCGTGGGGGATCATCCCCAGATACGGTGAGAGCTTAAACACAGCAGTTAACATTCAGACAGTTCAGACAGAATCCCGAACAACACTTACAAAGTACTGTAACCCATACAAGGAAAAAACTGTGACTGTGGTTGATCATGTTTTCTGCTTTTGCACAATGTCCACTGTGAAACATCATTATCATCATATTCCCAGTGGGTTTTCACACGATGCAGACAACTAATAGGTTGTTTCACAGTGGACATTGTGCAAAAGCAGAAAACATGATCAACCACAGTTTTTTCCTTGTAATGGTTAAACAGTACTTGAAGTGTTGTTCGGGATTCTGTCTGAACTGTCTGAATGTTACTGCTGTGTTTAAGCTCTCACCGTATCTGGGGATGATCCCCCCGCAGTGAAGGAGGCGTAGATCCCACCACCATCCAGAACATACACACCAGGACAGATGCTCCCCTCTCTTGTCCATCTGAAGAAACTCAGAGAAGTACGAGTACACGATCGCACCGTGCCACCAATCCTGAGAGAGAGAGAGAGAGAGAGAGAGATAGAGAGAGAGAGACAACCACAAATCAACATGATCAAATATAAGGCATAATCACAAAAAGAACTAGATTTTCAAATTAAAGGTGCCTCCTTTGAGAGGAATTTTACTGTGGCTCAGGAGGCACAGGGGTTGTCATTAATCAGAGGTTGGTGGTTCGATTCCCGGCGCCTTCAGTGTGAATGGAGTGTCCCTGGGCAAGATACTGAATCCTAAATTTCCCCTGATGTTATCATGTGTGTATGTATGGTAGAAAAAGTGCTCTATATGTACAAAAAGTGCTGTATGAATGTGGCTTGTAACGTAAAGCACTTTGATTGGTCGGTGAGACTAGAGAAGCTCTATATTAGTGCAGTCCATTTACCACTAGAGGATTCCTTTCATGGGATTTTTTGCTATGACATGGAATATTTCTAAATCGAACACTACAAGAGTCGTGTTGTAGCAAAGTTAAACTGAAAATCAGAATGGAAGTTAAGACGTTTTGGCTGGTTGAAAAAGACGTTTCTCCTATCGGAGGCAACAAAGGATTTCTTGTGTGAAATTTGCTCATATCACAAGAACACACACTGAAAAAACATGAACGTGGCTACATGTTGGTGCAGATGTGTTTACTGCAGCAAGAGCGGGCATGGCAGGACATCCCATGAACTCCACTGCACCCTCTGAGGAGAGCACCGTTGCTGTGTCACACATCTGAATATCATGTCACTGTGCTGTGCTCTGGTATGTGACCTAATTTCTAAGTTAGTGTGTCTCCCTGTGGACCTCAGTTATTTCTGGGATGGAGCCACCTCTGCATAAACATGGTGTGGAGACTGATTTATTGTGTATAAAAACTTAAGAAGCTTCAGATCAAGTTGAAGACAAATGACTGTAATAGGAAGTGTTACAGACCACGAGCGGTATTCTGCAAGTTAATACCACAGAGGTGGGAGGTTTAAGGACCCCTACACAAGTTTTTACACTGATGAAATAAAATGTTTATTTGTGAAAAAAACTGACAAAACCTTTCTGGTGTCTAATTATAAAATCCTCAGGTGGTGCAGGTGCATTAGGGGAATGTTTCCACTCTGGCGATCTCAGTGTTTTTCAGCCCGTGTCGGTGACGCTGGACAGAGACCTGCACTGTGTAGTTTTAGTAGATACACAGCAGAGTAGAAATACAACTGCCTCCAGGTAGAGATGATGGTATATTCCTCTGTTTGTTTTCTCTGATTCAGATTTTTTATTTTCTTATATAAACTCTTGCCAAGTAATAGCATAGAAAACGCTGTCAAAGACTAATTCGATTTTCAGAAAGTTGACTTTTCTAGATGTTCACTTGACAGTAACATGACTCAAAAGAAATAGCTTGTTTTGTTTTAACAGATTTCTTCCTTCCCCACCAACAAACTAACAAGAGATTCAAAATGATTGTTAAATGTTGGTTCAGTATATTTTCACAGTGTGTGATGCACTTGCAGTATATATTTCTTAATTAACAAAGCTAACAGGATGATGTTATTATATTTTAGTGGGAACTATAGTGAGTAAAGTCCAGACAGAGGTGTATGGGCTGAACACATTTTGTTCCTCAGGCTCTCGAGCTTCAGCATGTTCGGTTTGAAAATAAAATAAAATACTCATATATTAAGTGTCACGTCTCAGCTTTAATTTCAGTAGATTTAAGTCAATATTGAAAGAACTGTGTGGAAGATAAAGCCACTTTAACGCACAGTGCCGAAATTTACCAGGGTTCATAAGTAACACTCGGTAAGTAAATGTATGTTGGGCAGCTGAGTGTCCGTTTCACCTGTTATACTGAAAGAGCTCTCTCACCAGCTGAGAGATGCTGTTTAGACTGAGTGGAGAGGTGAGGCATGCAAGGAAGACGATGACGATGAGGCTAACGAAAAAGCAAACATCTCTGTCAGTGAGAAAATCACAGTGGTTTGTTGCTAAAGTCATCAGCTGGGTACTTTCTAAAAAAAAAAAGAAAACTATGAAATGGTAAAGGAGCGAGTAGATCGAGGTAGATCTGGTGGACGAGTGGGAAACAGTTTGTGTGGCAAGAAAAGCTCCTTCATGACTGAACAGCAGGTAAAGAATGGTATCCAGGATGTAGGCGGACATGTTTCATCTGTCAGTGGCCAAGAGAAGACTTCATGACGTCAGAGAGAAGATGCAAGATGCAAGATGCAAGTGCTGTGAAGGGCAGCCACGCTCCTCTCACTCTCCACCTCACCAGTTTGCTTTTCTACACATGGGTCATTTCAGTTTCAGTCAACTGCACCAAAACAAATACGTCCACACACTTTGTTTTAGGTTTGGAAGTTGATGTATTTAACCTTACCTTGTTTTTATATTTGGAGTTCACACATTTTAACACTGTGGATAACATGCATCAGTCTTCTGTTATATTCGTATTTCCTTGTCTTTGAGTTTATCATGGCTGCTGGGGGACGTCCTTCTGGTTGAGTCAAACGTGTGGCTCGGGTTGATGAGCTTTAAATAATGAAGCCAGCTCCTTAGGCTGAACCATCTGCTGCCATGTCGTGGGAGTGATTGGGTTGTTTTTGCTTTGTATTTAGTTGCAACTTGGCGACTGTGTTGTTCGACGCCCTTCTAAACTATTTGCTTTGGCCAGGTCACTTTATACAAAATGCTTTTTGTTCGTAATGTTTTATATATGGAATTCATTTTCCTTACGGGAACATAGCAGTTAATGAAAATGTATGTATTAAAAACAATAGATGTGTCACCTCACACCTTAAGGAAGAGTGTGTGTGTTGTGGTTATTACCGATGCCGGACAGCAGCCTGAAGAAGAGGAAGAATGCCGTAACCTTGGGCGAATGACGACAGAGGAATGAAAAGATACAGTTTATAGCCAACGCCACGATCAGACAGCGCCGCGCGGCCCACTTTGTCTGCCAGACGCGCCCCCACGAACGCTCCCACCATCATGCTCAGAAAGACGATCAAACTGCACATAGACAGACGGAGACAAAGTATGACTATGACTGTACAGTAACTTTAACCATGTGTTTATTAAGGTCCCCTAATAAAGTACTTATTTTAACCATGAACCATTTTTCTGCCTAAACTTAATTCAAAGCTTAACACACAGCACCGCTTCACATGATATAACATAGTACAGATGTACATTTGAGCAGGGACTTATGATGGTGCTGGAAGGCTCAGCAAATGATGTCCTGCTAATCAGGTGCTTTCAGATGACAGAACGTTTCATGTGTTGCTCTGTTTTTGTCATTTGGAGGATCTTCTGGATATTTTCAGCCTGTTGAAAGTGAAGAACGTTTTTGTCGTTCATGTTTTTGATATTCAAATAATGTGGATTTGAATTAGAGCAGTTCGCACTTTTAGAGGCTCAGTCTGAAAAGGGCAAATTGATCCCTCATTAAACAGTGTATGACACTGGCTTTTTAAT